GGGGAAGTTTCACATGCAACACTTTGGCCCAGCACCAAACCGGTCCCTCTTCCCCCTTTCTCTGCCTCCTTTTGATACTACGGGAAAAATAAGGAAGAGAATAGGTCAGCAACTTTTAGGTCCTTTCTTACCTTGGTTCTGCAGTGCAATAAAATTCAAGAAAATTAATGATTTCTGCCTGGACCCAGCTTTACCCAAACCCTGTGAACAAGCACCCACGGTCCTGTTCTTTGAGGCCTTGAGGAAATGATTTTTAGTAACACAGCCTTTTTCACTGTTAATGGGCACGATTTTGAGACATCTGACAGGCAGAAAGTAGTTAGCATGTGCCTTCGCTTTAATACTGGGCATGAGAGTATTGTTTGCATGGGGCACATATGCTCTAATGATGTCACCACGCCGAAGTAGGAGCGCTGGTGGTTTTGTCAGAGTGCTTTCATGGAATTAAGGAGTTTGTCCACTGTATTTTGGTGTGGTAGGCAGCTAGAGAGCTTGGAGTTGCTGCTTAGAGTTCAGCCAGCAAGTGTGATGCTTTTTGAAGTAAAGCAAATGATTCAGATTGTCCAGTTGCATTAATTTAGTGAAGCCGTTGGATAACAACCGTGTCACGTCCCCACAGATTGCTACGCTGCCTCGGCAGGCAATGCCAAGGCAATCCTCTTCGGAGGAATCTCTGGGCGCAGGGAAAATGCCAGGCACACCTTAACACACCTGGAAGAAGCAGGGCACGAGTCCTGGTTGGAAATAGTCCATTTGCATTTTTTTTCCTTTTCCCACGTAAGGGAGATGAGATGTTTTCCATTTTCCTTTTTTGTGTGGCTTGATTTCTCCTTCTTAAAAAATAAAATAAACTAATTTTAAATAAATACTCGTGCGGAAACACCCTCCTTCCCCCGAACCCAACTACCAACAAATAGCAATAAAACCGCAGAGTTAAATTCAAATAATGTGAAGCGACTCATTTGAAACCCACAGACACAAGTGGAGTCAGAACTTTAGATTGAGACTGGCCTAAATTGCCCCATTGGTATTAAAGGACTCCTTAAACAGCCTAAGATCTTGGCTCTTGTATTAACCAGGCATGACCCGATGTGTTATGGCCTGGACTCGCAGGCTTTTTTCTCTTCTCCTTTGTGGGTTTTAAATCTCTCCTGTAATGTAACTTGAATGTAGGTTTTTAATGGCTTAATTGAGTTGTCAATAGGAAGCCTTTTCTTTTTTTTTTTAAATTCTGAGTAAAAAAAAAATAAATGCAAATTGACATGGATAAAATGCATTTGAAGATCTATTTAGTATTTTGTTTTTCGTTCTTTTATGTCTGCTTTCCACATCCCGAGTAAGGGGATGTAATATAGCTTCTGCATTGTTGCATGTACTGCTGGTCTCATGCTTGATGATTTATTAAGCTCAAATCAGAAATAGAGTTGAGTAAAAAAATTCTTTGATAGTTTGAAACCCAATTACTACTGATCACGAGGGCTCGGAGCACCAAGAAAACGAAAAGCTGATTTTCGGTAATGTGACGTCTGCCAAAATGTGAAGGAATACCAGATGTTATTTTTAAAAAGTGCCATTGTAGAGTCCTTGGAAAGAGAGAGTGAGCGAGTGTAAGTGAATAGGCATATGTGGATTTAACTAATATTCAAATGAAGTGTAGAACCAAAAAGAAAGAATTCACAGCACTTTAGCTGTTTTAACCTCCTTCGTGCTTCCACAGATGCCTGGTCAGGACCCTTATCAAATGCAGCAGTTTTGCTACATTTTCTGAAGAGCACAATTTAAATCACAGGCCAAAAAAAAACCCCAACAAAATCCTCACATCAAAACCATAATAAAGTTGAGATCTCTGCTATTCTTTTTATTTGTCATATATATAAAAATGGACAAATTCAACCTTTGTAATTTGAGGGACAGACTTCAGTCTGAAGGCTTTACAGGAATGTTAGGTGAAACTAGTAAGAAGCATTTCCCTCTCTGCCACCTTTTTTCCTTACGACCCTTGGTTCAGTTCCCGTTTTCATGTTGCCTTTTCCAGCTCTTTGTCCCATCTCCCGCGTGTGTATGTGTGCCTGTGCATGGCCCTCTGTGTGTGGGATTTTTTTTTTTTTTTTTAATATTTTGACACTCTGCTCCCCCTTAATAGGAATTCTTCCTAGACATAGCGTGCGCATTTCTAAAGGACCCTTTTCACAGTCCTTTTCTTTTGGCTCTAAAATGATGTATATGTAATTGGTAATTAAAGGTGCAAGCTCTCTTCAATATAAACAATATTGCTCAATGTTAGATCATTAAAGGGAACCGCAGCACTAAATAATTACCTTTTGCATCGTGACACACTGTTTGCAGGCATCCGCTCCCTTCCCAGCAGTCCCTGCTCAGCGCAGGGTTACCGTTCCATTTTCACTAAGGCAAGGAGGCATCTTTTTGTGATATTAATTGGTGAATTATTGTGTAGTATTGTCTTCAAACTCCTTTTAAACTTAGATTAAGGGGAAAAAGGTAATTAATGCTTTTCAGAGAGGGTATAGTGCTGTGTATTTGGTAAGCTTGGTGTGCGTTAGGAAACCAAAGCCTTCCCGTGCCCATCATCTGCTCCAGCAGGATGGTCTGGGCTCGGGCCTTTCTCTGGAGTCCCCGTCCTTTTCCTGCTGCTGCTGGTGCTGCTGCTGCTCTCCGCTTTGCTGTTTGTGAGCTCTCGTGCAACTTGTAATACAGCTGGTAGATACACCAATCAATTATTTATTCTGCAAGACAAAAATGAGGGCGATTCTTTTCTAAACTGCTCAGCCATTTTTGGTTCCAGGCAGTACATCTCACCTTCTACCTCTTGTCCCTTTTCTATGTGATTTTTTTTTTTTTTTTTTTGCACTTTGGTGAAAAGTGGGACAAAACTCCTTTTGTTTTCGGCCAGGAGGCGAATCTAGATCTGGATTATGACATTTGTTTATCTCAGTCTTACTTCTTTGAGATTATTTGTGTGACTTGCTTTCCCCAGGAAATCCATAAGCAAGCCACTCGGGCTAATAGAGAACATTCTTCCTCCTATTCCTTTAATCCTGATTCGAACAGAGGTCTCACTCGCTGATTACATACTGTTAGTTTCCCTGTTTTGTTCAGCCCAAATTCTATAGTCCTTGCAGAGGCAAAACAGCCTTAGGCAAAAGTCAGTGGAAATTTTGCCCAAGTAGAGACCGAGGTTTGTATGATTTGGCAGTTACATGGCAGAACAAGGGAAAATAAACCAAAAAACACGTTTTGCCCCAGAAATAGATTGTGATCCATAATTATTGTATAATGTAAGAATTATCTTCAAAATACCCCTTAAAAATGCACTGTGTTTTATTAATTGTGAAATGAGAAGTTACTTATTTCTTAGAAACTGATTCAGGTCACTCAGAAATGCTTTCCCAGTCTTTGGGGGTAACGAAATCCATGAGGTCCGTCTGCAAGATTTAAACAAAAAACTTTTATTAACCTATATAGCAACGGCAGGGATATTTAACATCGGGAAAATGAGTGGAAGATTTCAGGCTCAGCCAATATTCCAGTATGTTAAATAAGTGCCTCATTCTCTTTCCCACTGTACACACTCTTGAAACCCCTTAACTTTTCCTGAGACCATATCCTGCACTCTTGAACAGTTTGCTGTAATGCATGCTAATGGGTGGTCATTTAACCTCACCGGTGTCTTTGTAATGGGACAAGGTGGTACAATTTTATATGCCACATGGAGCCTGATCCTGCTTGTTAGGAGCACGCAAGCACTTTTTTTCCTGTCTCTCTGAAATAAGAGAGGTTTGGGTGCATAAGCTTTGCTGGATGGGGCTTTGGCCAGATGGCTGGGAGATGCGGTGGGAATCAGAAGGTGGGATAAAAAGAAAGGAACTATTTCAGAAAGTGACTTGGGGCTGGAACGTTTGCAAAATGGCTCTTTGCTGATATCCTTGCAGTGCTGGCAGCAGTGGGAAGGAGCTGTCAGGAAAGCTCTGCCAGGTCAGCCTTTCCATTTTGTTTCAGGCAGGCTTGGTTGCAAAATATATTGAAATCATTCTGGGAGAGCGGAAAAGCTGAAAAATAAAAGAAAGATCTAATCAGGCTTGGCTTCTTTGCGGGGGTGAGGGGAGGCTGGGCCTCTCGTGATGTATCCTTCAGAGTCTGTGAACATTCAAAGCAATCTCTTTCTCTTCTCCCCTCGTCCCTTTCCTCCCTCTTTCTCCTTGTCCATGTAAAGCAGAGGCTGACCATGTGGAACCGGCACTCGCCGACGAGGATGAGAGCCTGGCAATAGCAGAGCCGGGCAGCATCAGCATCGCCGCAGGCGGGACAGACCCCGACTTGTTAACCTGTGGACAGTGTCAGATGAACTTCCCGCTGGGAGACATCTTGGTTTTTATAGAGCACAAGAGAAAACAGTGCAATGGCACTGTTGGTGCCTGCTATGAAAAGAGCATGGATAAGAGCAGCCCTCCCCCCTCCTCACGCGCCGAGCTCAGGAAAGTGTCAGAGCCAGTGGAAATCGGGATCCAAGTCACACCCGATGAAGAAGACCGTCTTCTCACGCCTACAAAAGGAATTTGCCCCAAGCAGGAGAACATTGCAGGTACAGCATGTTTTACACTCAATGAACTGCCTGGGTAATCTTTTAACGAGAGCCCTCTAGAAAGTGCCATGAAAGAGAGGCTTCAGTAGGAGGCCTTTGTAGGAGCCATCGGTCTGGAGGATCCTCACAGCTACGCAGGGCTCAGCAGGGCTATCCACACCATGTTTAATTCAGCGTAGCTATCCGCGCAGGACCAGCTCCTGGAGAGAGGGGACTCTCCATCCCCAGGGAGAGCCCAGTGGCAGCCAGTACACATAGGAAAAAGCAGAGGGTTGTGGCCAGAAACGACTTCAGAAGTGTCTTTAAGCAGGTAGCAGTGGTGAGGTGCTCAGTTCAGACACCCTTTGTAACATGCAGACCCACAGGGAAGGAACCAAATCCCAACCCCACTGAAGACAGTGGAAAAATCCTCTTCCCACTGGTTGCAGTGGGAAGAGGATTTGGTTGCGAGGGCTAAAGCAGGGGTTCATTAAGTCCTTGCTTATTCCTTCTGCTGGGGTAGAGGTCAGCTTCCTGGGCTGTGTTGCTGCCTGTGCTGCCTGTCCTGGGTCTCTGCAGATGGCTGGAATGGAGTGGGTGACACCCCCGTTCACATGCACGCCCCGAACGGGGCTTTGGGAAGAGGAGACAAGAGCACAGGGTGGCCCGGGTGAGCCAATTGCAGGCATTTCTTTTTCTAAAACTCTGGGACGTGGCAGAGTTAACGTGCTCAGTGGACCCCCCCGGCTCAGAGGTGGGCAGGCAGGCGATGGCATCCATCCGGGTGAGCTGCTGTGCAGCGGTTTCTGCTGAGCGCCCGGCGAGGGGCCGCTTTGGTCATGCAGGGCGTTTCTCCCTCTGCAGCGGTGGGTTCTTCTGCAGCAGTGAAAGGAAGAAGGCTCTGCTCCCTGCTACTGAGTGGGGTTACACAGCAGGATCTTCCCTCAGATGGGCCTTTTTTGTTCAAATCAGCTGTAACCCATACAGAAGACCAGTGGCAATTTCTCCTTGCTGCCACTATCCTGATTTTCTCTAGGAATTGTCCTATGGGATTAGCTCTGACAGTCCAGGATCCTGCTTGTAGTAGAGATGTTCCCATGAGGGGATCCCCACAACACTTGTGAGAGGGTCCTATATTTACAGCTGAAGCTTAAGAGATTCCCGCTTTTAGCACTGGAGGTTTCCGAGTCAGTCCCCAGTGTTTTTGACAGGCTTAGCCAGCACATAAATAAGGATGTGGGCTTGGAACTGCTGCAGTCTTCGGATCTCCGGATGATCTGCCTGTTAGGAGAGGACATATGCCACCCACTGACCACCTTGTAGTCTTCAAGGAATCCTTTTTGAGTGCAGTTGCCATCTTGGCATGGGGCATCTGGTAGCTTTGGGGGCATAAGCAGTGGCAGCCTGTGCTGTAGTGTTGTAAGCAACCCCACTGTAAGACCTAACTGCATCCTTTCCTCATCCTTTAGCAGCTTTCCCCACCTTTTTGCTGTTGCTAGTGCAGAGATGACTACCTCATGGTGTAGCAGCTTCGAGGGCTAGGTTTCCTTCCCATTTGGTGGGAGCAGGAGACAGATGTTTAGGACCTTCTCCCCAGTCTGCTGAAGGCACCTGAGCGCTGAGCTCTCTCAATAGCTGTCGATGTCTCTGTGGATGGAGCTCAGCCCCTTGCAGAGGGTGCCCAGTGCTTAGAGAGGTTGGTCCAGGAGACCTATGCTGTAGCTGCAGTCCAGATCTCATCTCTTACTAATCAGTGCCCAAGTTCAGTCTGTAGTGAAGCACCTCAATGGCTATACCCAATGCAGAGGGTGCCGTCCCATCCCAGCTACTGGGGGTCAGCATCCATATAGCTAACGCTTTTGCCATGCAGAAAATCTGCTGGAGGGGGGGAGTGAAGGGGATGTTCACATGTGGAAAAGGCATAAAAAAAAAAAAATTAAAAGCCAATCTGGAGCACCTAATCTCTTTCAGACTAAACTGAATATCAAATGAAAATATGTAGGAAAGATTTTGAATTGAGAAAAATAAAAGGGTTTATCATTTGATTGGCATTTTCTCAGCAGTGCACGGAGATAGGGACATCCACTAAATAGTGCAGTAATAATGCTTTCTCAATTAGGAGCCCAGCTCTGAGATAAAAAGGTGCAGTGTCCTTCCATATTTTTTTAATAGCAGCGGATAGTTTTCAATAGTAGGATAAAAGCCTCACATTACAGCCATGGAGGGTAGCCATGAAAAACCCACAGAAGTCATTCACTGGAAAGGCTTTAGTGGGATATACCAAACCCCTTATTTATATTTCAATAGAAAGGCTTTCTGCATTAGCCAAGAAAATCAGAATCTGCATTTAACATTAAAGGTATTTCCCAGTGAGCGGCTGTAGAGCATTGTTGTTAGATTTGTTAAAAAAAGAGACTAAATACGATTTCATAAAAGGGAAACTTAATCTCTAAGGCAGCTTTCTCCCACCCCGCCACCCCCTCCCTGTATTTTTTTATTTTTTTGGAAAAAATGCAACAGCCTACAGTATTTTTACTTTATATGTGACGAAAGATATTCTTAGCCTTTCTGTACTGCGACAGGAAGAATGAATTTCTTTATTCCACCAAGAAATATGTAAAATAATCCCTTAGAAGTATGGGGAGATATGTTTGTTCAAAGCATTTAAAATGTTATTTTAATCAAAGGCACAAAACACTCTACATGCTGTGTCAGCTAAAGGAGACCATTACATTTTAACAGCAAATCATGCTCTTTTTCCCCCTTCTAGCCAGCGCCTCCCCCCCCTTTGAAACTAACTTTTTTTTTTTATTAAATAAAAAGGCGAAAAAGATTAAAGAATAAAAAAACTTCAGTGGCTCAAATGTATAAAGTAATTTAATATGGTGGAAGCATTAATTATTTTAGCTTAATTGAATTCTGAGGACTGCAGTAGTTGCATTTTTGTAGACAAGCTCTGTTTATTATTTCTTTGTGTAGATTAACAGTAAAGGAAACATAGATAACTTTCAGTTATTTATTGTAAAATAAATGTGTCAATTCATGTGTAAAGCAAGCTGTTCAAAGATAATTGAGTCTTTATATTTGAAGAGGGAAACCAGAAATCACCCACTCGCCACTCCGGCTCCCTGAAATATGCTGCCACCGCTGCTGCCCTCAAATAGGTTTTAGCTTGTCTCCTTGATCTTGTATATTTTTGTAGACCTTCGTATTTGGTTGAAATGATTTGTGTGGCCTTCTGTGGTATGACTGAATCACCAAACCTTACAGCTTCCCCTGGCTGAGTGTAGTGAGGGTACGTCAAGTGCCAAGCTTGGCTCTGCCATGGCACCTCTCTTCCCTCTGGGTGAGGATATTGGGATGCGGCACCACACCGAGTATTCACCTCGACACAGGGTGCTCAGGAGTCCTGAGGTCTTTCTGCCTCTCTTTCTTTTTGCCTTTCTGTCTTTATTTCTTGGCAACTCTGCTTGCTGTGGTCACTGAAGGTCTCGGCCACACCACAGACCTTGTGTTGCTTCGAGGGAGGCAGGTAGAGCTCAGGAGTCTGCAAGACTTTGCATGCATGCGTCACAAATCTCCAACTGACATTTCTAGATATCAATAGAGACAAAGGTAACTTCATCTCCACAATCAGCTTTTAAGGACCTTCTAATAATGAAGTCTGTCATCTTTTCCTGACTTGTAACTTGCAAATCCATGCTTTCCGAGGTGCTTTCATTTAGTTACCACTGTCCGTAGCTGGCACTGGGAGGACGTGACTTGCTTAGGAGCAGTCTGTCCTGTACATTTTTTTTTCCCCCCCCCAAACTGGCTGACCTGTTTGAAAATCAGTTCTACCTCTCATACAGAGGGCGTGATAGTATCAAACAGATGTACCAGATCATTGCACAACAAAATGCAGCCAGGCCAATGAATTGGCTAGGAGTTATCAGTCACTGCTTCTTTCACTTCACTGCTGGCAGGTATTTTGGAAAAAAATAGGCCACCGTTGTATTTTATATCTCTTTTTATCTTTCACATTTATGAAATCACAGGCACAACCAGGTGACCTGTCCTGGCGGAAGAAGGCCCTGGGGAGGTGGCTCCTGCTGTCCTTTGAATTGATGGCATCTCCTGTCCTCTTCATGGACCCTGCTGGGCTTGCAGGCCACCAGTCTGTTTTTTAGCAGGGTTCTTTAAATAATCCAGATTAAAGAAAAAGTTCTGTTCAGCTTGTTTTCAATGCTGGATAGTTTCAGAGAAGCCCGGCAGAGAGGAGGGAGCTTTGGTGGGGCAGGCATCACAGGGACCAGACCTGCTTCAGTTTCACTGGCTGGTCTGCATGCTCCAGGCAGCGTACCCTCGTGGACAGATAACCACACCAGCAGCAGAGGTTCCTTAAGACAGTGTAGTTAATTTCTGCAAAGACGGTGCTAGGAAAGGGGAGGGAGTTGATTGGAATTCCTCATTCATCCCGTCCCAGCTGCCAGTGTTGGGCTCCATACATTATGTACTTGAACTAGATGTGCATCGTGAAAAAAGGCTCCCTGTCAGAGTCAGGATTTAACTGTAACCCCTGCTCCATGAATGTTCATTTCAGGCTTTTGAATGGTAAAACTGCCAGTGAGAGAAACTAAATAACTCGCATGTGCTGGAAGCCAGAGATAAACACCGCCGCAGGTTGCCATGAAATAAGCTATTTGATATATTTAGAATTGTTATTTTTCTCCAAATTAAGATTAGTTAAATCCATATGTGTTGTGTGAGTGATTGTTAACTCAATGGCATGGATTATCCTTTTTTCAAATCATGACAGCTAATTATTATTGCTGTCTACCCTGAGACATTCACTTACAATGTACCATTATGGACCCGTGCACCCATATTAACTCAGACAGCCATCGTGATGCCTTCACACGTGAAGGGACGAAAATGCGAGCTGAAACAACCCAAGGACAGTGACAGTGATGTCAGGCAGGTTGCAAAGGGATGTCCTGCACAGTGCCGAGCCAGCACAGGGCACGGGGGCCATCCCTTTC